ATAAACTTTTATCCACTAAATAATTCTAAGGAATAATTATTGCAGAGCTAAAAACAAATTAAAAGTACATACGTGACTAATAAATCATGAGCAAACATAGTTTGATAGGATTACATAGTAACGTTGTCCTACAAATGATGAGTGAGAATCCCGCGAGCGGGATCGTGGATGCGCACTGCTGAGGAGTCCCACAATAGGACGAAACGGCCGTCCAGTACTTCCAGGTTTCCAAAGGTGTTCTAACATGAATCAATTCATGATCTCAATCAACAACTTAGCATGTGTTCACTAGTGGCTAGCTTCGTGAGGAATTCTCGGAGTTCTAGTGAGAAGCCGTGATCAGTGAGGCTAATTCATGTCGGGTAGAGACAAATATCTACCTCAGTACAATTGAAGATGGTCGTGCAATTTCGTGGATTGGTTGATGTTAGACACTATCACCCTTGGATGCCGGCTCAGTGGTCCAGTAGGTTAAGCGTTCGCGCGCGAGACCGAAGGCCCTGCGTTGGAATCCAGCGAGTGGGATCGTGGATGCGCACTGCTGAGAAGTCCCACAATAGGACGAAACGGCCGTCCAGTGCTTTCAGGTTTCCAAAGGTGGTCTAACATCAACCAAAAACTTAATGAAAAGTAATTAGCCGATACTTAATAGAATGTAATACTTATTCAAACTATACTAGATCACAATAAGTAATCCTTTATATGAAGACTATCATCAGATAGCATACTCCTGTTTGGCTATGACTTTAGAAATCCAGTTTTTTTCAAATATTTTGGGTAACTATGCAAGAATATGACTTCATGTCTAGTTTGTGTCAATGTTTAATCTAATTATAATGAGTGAAGTAGTTTAGGTAGTTGTTCATTTCTCTTATCATAAGATTTAAATCAGATAAGGTAAAGAAATTCTAATAGACTGATTGCTTTTAAAATTTGTGTTGATTATATTGTCTAGAAGAACAATAAAGTTTTTACGATTACACCATCCAGATCAAAGAAAATAACTTCACTATGAGATGTTAATTGGGACTAAGTTTGAGGAAAAATATTTATGTTAAACACTACGTTATTTCTACTTGGTGTAATTAATTATCATCTAACGAGAATTGATTTTTCTAATTGTTCCTTGTAGAACACTAAATATTTGTACATTCGATTTGCTGTAGAACTTCAGTTAGATTTAATCATAAAAGCATATAAGACTTGATCATGAATGATTATAACTTCGGAATATTTGTCATAATTCAGTCTAATTAAGTTAAGTGTTCAAAGAAGTTAGATAAATGATGTTTTTCTTGCATTAATTTGTTTATGGCTATAAAATTTAAGCAATTCAGCTTGGTGAGTAGAATTAGATTAGCAATCATTTATCAAGGATAGTATTTGGTTATGAACTGGTGACTAATTTAAATCCTTTTAGAGATCAACCAAGTACTTGACAGCCTAAAAGTAGTATATCTGACTGTAAACCTAATTTATATTAGTTTCAACTTACGGGCGAAAATAAATTTCTTCAAAAGAAACATATATTATATGTACATCATTAGTTAGTTACTCAATGATCAATTCATACACATAGAGAATGTTTCGGTTGATAAGTTGACGGTCAATACCTGAAGTTTAGAATACTACCAGTAAACTTATAAACTAATTACTAAGATTAGCAATGAACGAATGATTGTGAAGGATAACATTTTATTGTTAACAGTCGCTCATATGGAAGAGAAATTGTTTCCAGCAGTACGAGTTTATAGAAAGTTTATTTATTAATGACAGTAATAAACAGAATCGTTACCTCTTATTGGTATACTCCTCATTATATTCTGAAAAGCCAGCTGTCCATGTAATATCACAAGTCAACAGAGCTGAGATACGAAGCAATCGAACCAGATTTTGCGCATGAGTGCTAGGTACGAGAACTTCGATAAGAACCAACTATAGTCTCAATACCCCAACTTCGTTGGAAGAAAATTTTCTCAAATAATTGTCTCTGTAATCGTAAATTATCTTCATGGTGAGATGCAGATTCGTTACCGAAGGAACACCTAAGTAGTGTTTATCAACAAACTTACTTGCGTTCAGATAAGACAGGTTCAGTTAATAATAGTGAGCGATATCCAAAGTCAACAGGTAAAGGCAAATAGACTTTCGAAAATGGACGAAAAACTGTTTTTGGGTCTGATAAACAGGGTTGTAGCCAAGGTATAAATTTGGTAAGAAATAACTGGGGAGTGATGCAGAGACCAAATGTACAGAAAAAAATGTAGAAAGAGTGATAGAATACTGGAATAATTGATAACAGACCAGTTTAGTATCGCAAATATTTAAATAATAAATACGAACGAAAAGATAAACGTCTCCGAGAAGCACTAGACATCCAGATAGTATTTAAGACCTCACTGGAGATCAAACTTAAGGGTTTCAGATCTTGCGATGAGCGCTTGGTCTTTAGAAAACTTATCAGGTATAAAATAGTTTACATATCTAACTTCAGTTAATTAGAGATAATGTGCAACCATTTTTCAATGCCATCGATTGGTTTAGGTCAAGATATCTTCACAGTTCCTAATGGTACTTGTCCTTTCACTAAACAGTATAAAATAAAGAGATGGGTAATAAGATTAGAATATTACATATAACAAAAATTAGACAAGTCAAACATGGAAGTAATTAAACACCTATGACTCCGGGAGATAATTACAACAGCATGTAAGGTCTTTCTTTAAATCATACGGCTGAGATTATCCAAATTTTTGATTTGTGAACATTTATATTAAATCTGACATCTTCTGTTTATTTAAAAACAGATAGCTTAGTGATTTTAAAAAATGTCAACATGAGAAGTGTTACACAAATTGAATAATTTTTGTACACTGAAATAGCAACATCACAATATAAGAGAAAAAGGAACAATGAGTGAAATAGGTAACTTATAATATCTCTCAAAGATAGAGGGAATGACAAATCATGCTTTCAACTCACGAACCTTATTGGTCACTAAGATCTCAGGTTGAAAATTAAAACCTAAGGGTTGATAAGCGTTAACAATTATACGTCATTAACTAAGAAATATATTGGAAACAATGATTGCCATAGAATGAAGAGAAAAATATTTATCTCAGGTCATGTTACAAAGGATATCAGCTATGCGGATTTGAATAATATATTGGTAAAAACTTGACATTGATACTGAGCATACTATTTCATAGCTGAAGCTCAAAAGTATTACGATTTTTCAAGCTGATTTATTGTGCTTTTGGAACATAATAACAGAAAGCATACTCATCAATATTAAAAACAAATAAAAAGTGTATTTATACTTCACTAAAAGCTCCGAAATGAAAATGTACTTTTGATGTTTGAGGAAGAGTAATAGTACTATTACTACTTTGATTTGACGGTTATTGTATGTCCTTTGGTCTGTCTACCCACTCTTGGTGCTGGGATACTTATCTAATTCAGATTAAAGACCTAGGCGCGATAGGCTAACCGACCTGACCTTGAGGCTAGTATGCGTGAGTTCGAAATGGGGTAGAAAGAATACTATTCTATCACCTGACTGGCTGACAAGCACGTGAGTGAGAGAAGACAAGACAACTGGAACACTACTGATCCATTCTGATATCCTGGTTTCAGTTCAGTTCGGATTAGTGTAAAAAGGTACATGAAATAAATAAGTGAATAATCCGACCACAACGTACGATAATTAGGAAAAGCTGGGATTTAGAGTAGAAAATAGGGTGCAAAATATTATGTTTAAATTACAATAGCTTCGGAACGAAAAAGGGTATGGCACTGAATCATACATCGAACAAAAGCTTATGTTCTGTAGAATAGATTAGGGACAAAATTAAATGTCATGTTTTACAAGCTTTGAATAAAATGGAATAACGTCCCGAAATAGCTTTCGTAGTTTGTCAGGGCTTCTTGTTTTCCTGTTCACAACAGTTATGAATGAACCATGTAAACGATATATACACATTGAATTATTAGTTATTGAATGTCAACTACTCCTTACTGTATACACTCAAATTTATTCACTAAATGAACGTTTAAAATGATATATTTGTTTCACTATCATTTTTGATGTCATATCAATCCGTGATTGATAGATAAATTAGTCTTCACACACATTCTTGTATAACAGTCTTGTTTCGTAGAAGTTATACAGTTAGCGGTAAAGAAGCATTTTGTTGAAACATTACACATTTATTACTGTAATGCCAAACGAAGGATTTTAAACTTCAAAAAATCTATGAGCCACTTCTTCCTGGTAAATAACAACACGTATGAATTCCTTTGCAAATCGGCTTCTTGACTGATAATACTCGATATGTGAAGAGAAAGTTAATTAAATGTCTTAAACTTTGAGTTCTGATTTAACTAATTTACATTGTCATCATTATAACACGAAGATGGAAAGTTACTAGCAATAGAATCCAGGACACACGTTTCGTCCTATTTGGGATACATCAGTTAGATTCCACTACTAGCTACTGTACACATTTACTTAAAATACTTGCGATACGACAGTAATATCAAGGCAGTTCGTTCGAAATGCAAATATATCAAAAGAGACTTAAAACTCAGACCTTAAAACAACAACAACAACATGAATAGATAATACTGTAAGACAAAGTCTTAGAAACTTCGCGTCCAAGATACACATAGATAATTATCACCTCATCAACCCAATATAATTTCCAAAATCAAAGATTCATCACATTCAATAGTTCCATGTCAAATAATTATACATGTTTATTTGGAAGGCTGTAAAAAGAATCCAATGATTTAACCGTCATAGGCTATCTCAACAACAATTAATTCATATAAACCAATGGAATCCCGTATAAATTTGAGCGTCAAAATGATTGGCTAAAAAGATTATTATTGACAATTCTATCTCATGATTGGTTCTTAATACATGAAAGAAACATGATTTACAAAAACGGACCAAGTTTTCATAAATTTTATTAAGTGTTCCTTCTTTGGTGATACAAATGCAATTGCAACCTCCAGCTTATGAAAGTCTTGCAGCTGTAGACAATATGATTGGTGATGATCATTCAAATAGTAATGTGGAACAAGGAATTATTCATCCAGTTAGACGGCGACCATTTGGTAAATCTCTGCGTAATCGATTGAATCATATTGTCAGTATGTATATACCCGGAAATAATCCTATAGAAAACCGTTTAGTCGGTATTGATGAGACAACAGATCATACAGGATTATTATCTTCTAACGAAAGTAAATTAGGATTTCCTTCTACGAAAGATGATGAATTATATGATATAAAGTTAATTTATCCAGGTGATCAATTAATCAAAGGTATTCTTCGTTATGCTAGTCTACCAGATAAATTTTCGCCTAATGAATCTCCAAAAATCACATGTCTAGCTGCAGATCATAAAATAATTTATATTGGATTAGAAAATCTACCATATATATTTCTAATTTCTGCTGAGTCAAGTGATTGGAATGATCAAAATTATCATAAATTTGAAAGTAATCATTACAAGGGTTGTTTACATCTTCATTCTACTGGAGTTGGAAATATTTTACCTCATGAATTATGTGCTCATTCTACTAAAACTAATCATACTTTCCTCTACATCGTTGGAACTATACAAACTGATAATATGAAACAAGAAAAGAAATGGATTTTGGCGAAATTTGATTTGAATGGTCAACAAATTGCTCGTAGTCGTACTTATTCATATCAACGTTATTCTGGTTTATCTGTAGACACTAATGATGATCATTTATTGCTTGCTTGTCCTTCAATCAATGAAGTAAATTCATCGAATATTGATTCGCCAGGACAAATATGTAAGTTAACCCCAGGATTTGAACGTCGAGTATTCTCTATTACAATGGGTAAAGAGTCTGTTTTCTATAAACCAAATTATGTAACACAAGAAACAGCCGGTCATTGTTGTTGGGCTTCTGTTGAACGTATCCTTCATTCTACAGAAAATACAGAAAATATTTATCAACCTACAAGAAGACTTTTAGCATTTCCTGGACGTCAACCTATTGGTGAATTAAAACAAAGTGCACGTGAATGGTTACATGCTTATTCATGGGATTTTGCTGATTTGAAACCAGGTAGAATAACTGCTTTCGATGCTGATCGTTTATTGGTGATTGATTCAGAGAATGGAACACTTTCTTATATTACTTGGGTAAATAATGAAGAGAAACCGAACTTGTATCGTATTACCCGTCCATCAACGAAACCTATACGTTTGCTATATTCAACATACAATTCGAAATGTTTATCCAATGAATCAAGTAAAAATGTTGCCTATTTTGTAGCTGGTTCTAGTATATTCTCTTTTGCATTTTGCCCCAATACTTGTACAACAACAACAACATTTAATGATAATAGTAATAATAAAAATGATAACACTACTATTAACAACAATCACACAAGTAATAACGTCAGTCACGCATAAATCATTCATTGTTTTCTGTCGGTTACCATTTATTGCAAATTTCTTCCTTGTCATCATCAGTTTATTTGTATAGTTTTAATGATAATGTTCATGAAATCTTATAAAAACAAACTCAATTGAAATTTATACAGTTATAAAAATATTAATGTGTGTGTGTGAGTGTTTCATTGATCATTGCACCAAAATTTCAATGTTCAGTGACATTGTTTGTTTTACACAATTTATAATGATTATGTTGATTATTCTCATTAATTGGTTATCATTTTCAAGGTTAATCTCTTCTTTTAAATGGTTCAATGTTTCCATCCTTTTTATTTTCTACGAAGTGCACATTACTTTCATTTATTTTTTCTCTTGTTTACTATAAACCAATTCTATGTATATCCATATCATATGAAGTGACATATAACTTCCAATAATAATTTGATGTAATATCCATCAAAGAAAATGTCAGCCTTTCAAAAAACGAAATAAACGAATCTAAATAGATTGTTAAAGATGATCAAAGCTTTGGAGTTTAATTTAAACAAAGAAATATTGAATTAATGGACAGAACTTTCTTTTAAATCATCACCTTTCTTTTAATGATGAAATCGAAAAAAAGGAAACAAATGACCCATTATTAGTAATCGTAATAATAACAAGAAGAATAATGTACAAATGATAGAGAGTTAATCATTGGAAATGAAGAGAAACAATTCCTTACTACAAATGTCTCAATTCTTGCTAATGTCATTTATAATTCTACTTTTTTTTTATCTTGTTTAAAGGAAAATAACATTCTTTTCATGATTACCATACTTGTTTCTTTATTACACATTTTGTATTAGTTATTTGTATTGTTTTTTTTTTCTAAATAGTATCTACTTTGATAATGTTTCGAAATTGAGTGTAATCTCTATATAGAACTGCATAGATGTTTAGTTTCATATGTGTATGAGTATAAATGAGGGCTTGTTTAGATATATTTATTGATATTTCTATGATCGATGAACACCGGTTCTATATACTTTAGTTATATTAAGTCAGTCAATTACTCAGTAACAGCGAAGAACTTTGTACGTACGTACATCAGTTCGAGTTGCCATACAACATTAGCACAGAGATACAATTGTCGATTCAAATCCCGTAGTGGTAGAGGTAGTAAGAGTATAGGCAGTAATCGGAAAGATTAGGGTTTTAAGATGTCGTTCAAGGAGTATAATACAGTGAAATGAATTTGGAAAGAGCAAAATATGGACATGAAGAATTCAGAAGACTAGAATTTTGGAGGACACAAAGAGTGGATGCACCTGCGCCATTGCAAACGAGTTTGAGCCATGTCACTAAGAGTCTCGAACCATCGGTTGCTATCATCTCGCGGATCCCAACCGGGTAGTCTACGTCGAACAACATCCCTCAGTCCACTTGTCAGTGACTTCATGGATTTGTGCCATGTGTTAGTCTGGCCACCCATAGTTTTCTTCCAACCTACTCCTACACCATAAAACATCGCACAGTCATATTAAATGAAATTCGATTACTCAAATACTAAATGGAAGTAATTAGCATTGGAGTTCGTAATGTAAAAAGTCAACTCATTTTACTTTACACTTCGAAGAGTTGTTTGTCAAAGTATTTGATTTCGTTTGGATCTCAATTCCTGTCATTCGTAATTAGAAATTTAATTAGCTGGCTGATGCTTGAAGACTTATTGTATTGGTTGTCAAGATCTTCTCTTTTGCTTTTAGCAGTGCAACTGATCAATCTCTTTCCAACAGATCATTTTCCTAAGTGGATCCACACAATATTAACATCAAGTCAAAAGCATTTTAAACAAAGTTGAATGATGACTAACAGCGAAATGCAGAATATGAGTTTCGTCTTGTTAATGACTCGTCCAATAGACATACCTACATCCGAGTTCATGCTCACTCTAGTACACCAAGCCATTACCATTCACTTCAAACACCAACTCGTTATCCCTTCAGCTATTCAGTTCAGATAATCAATGACTTGTGTAATACTGTGAATTCCAGTTCATTTGTGTCTATTTTTCAAATGTGTGTTTCTCCACAATTTATCAACACACATTTGAGTAACTTGAATTGTTGAGATCTTCCTGCGACAGAAACAAACATACTGAATGTTACAGAATAAAATCAAATGTTTAATGAAAGTGACATTCTAATAAAGCATCAACCAACCACTCGATGAACGGAGGAATGATGGGAAGTGTCGGTTAGGACAAACTGAATGGGAGTTATGCATAGTATCAGCCTTATTCACATAGTCGAATAGATGTGAATTATTATCGTTCTCCGAACTGTCAGTATTGATTTGTGTAATTCAATAAATCAATGTTTTCATATGATGCACAAGCTCATATATGTAACTTTAGAAAATAACAAGTTTGTACATGTTTGTTCTATTGATTTTACAAAATGTAAATATCTACTGAACGTGACTCAGTTCCACCGTCGTGTGTTCGTTGCATTCTCATCATTTTCTGTGTTGAACCAATTGAACAACATTTGCTGGTGTTATTTCCACAATCTAGTATGTAGATCACAGTGAATTGAGTTTTGGTGTAATTCTGCCTGACACTACACATATATCGGATGGTAATTATTTTGAAGATGTTGGTTTTGTAGTTTCACATGATGGAGAGGAATCAACTAGGAAATTGTTGAAAAGCACTAATGGAAAGGCATATGTTTGATACTGGTACGGTTTGCTGAAGAATGTGAATGGAAGATGTTAACTGTTATTGAAGTCAGCATTTGCAGGCCGTATAACATGTGATTTATCTTCAGACAATCTTGTTAGTATTCAATTCTTTACATCACCTAATCAATTTCACTTTGTCCTCTCTCCATAATATTATTAGTGATGACTGGTTTTCCTCAGTCATTAATGCCAATGCTGTTCGATTTTGGATCTGTGGTAATGTGCATTGTAGGTTTGTGTCGGATCCTATGTTGTGTATAACTAAAAAGGCTTACGCTCCATCACTGCACTTTGAAATGTAAATGGAGATTCGACGTTATGTGTATTTAACGTTTTAATTATTATTTGCACTTTTATCCACTGACAGTTTGTCATCGAAAAGCATAGTGGATGATGTGAATGTTCCTTACGTTAACACAGATATTATATCCTGTTACTTTTCTGATATCCGTCTTCTATTGGAAGGACGAGTTCACTGCTCACCAGTTCGTCTCACACTTCTTCATGGTAGTGAAACATGGCTGTTAAAAATGGGAGATATTCATCAGTTAGTGGAGTTTGATCATAGATGCCATCGAAGCATTTTTCCTTTATGTTGAGACCACTGAGATAGTAGTGTTAATGGTGTACGCAGAATGCTAGGTGATGATGGAAAATCAATTGACGATGTTGTAAATGCTTATTGACTCAGACGTATGGTATATGTATAACATATGTTTGACCAACATTACCTGTGTCAAGTGATGATGGATGTTGTAGTACTAGGTTTGGAGAATGGTGTGGGTGGCCAAACCAAAGCATGTCATTAGTCCATGGAGTTGTTAACCGTTAAAATGATGTGTACAAGTAGGTGCAGACTACTTGATTCGATTCTGCTCGATTATCGTAATGAATGGTTAGAGACTGTAAATGACATCACTGAAAGTCGATAATAATGTTGCACAAGCATTTACTCATCGTTTTCTCTCAGATTTGTACTTTCTAAATCGTCCATGAATTGTCTCGTCATATTCTCTTCTCGAATTGTATGTTGGATATCTAATCTTCTCTATTATCATTATTATTTATGTTCCTACATCTCCTAATGTGTGAGTTCGTTTGATTATTTCATGTCACTTTGCCAATTGGATGTGTCAACTTGGAAAGATTCACAAATGTGTCAGGTTCTACTTCACTTTGACCAATTGATATTATTGCACATTTGTATTAATACATCTTTATTCGATCACTGAATGCAGTGATAATTGTGATTAGTGATTGACTGATATAAACGTTTGTTTCTAGATTAGGATGTGATACATGCAAACTATTAGTTTTGTGTAATTATGAATCAATGATTGTTTTTTTCATAGTTCTTTTCTAGTGTTCATATATTACCTGTTAATTGACCTTTTATGTGGATTGTATTATTTACAACACTTGACCTAGAATGATGAATGATCTGAAAGTAGGGTAGAGAAAATGAACTCATAGGATTGTTATTAATAATGTTATCACTTTAACTGAATTGATTGACCAAACTTATGTAAATTATTTTATACTCAATTAAATGTATCTGCTCAAATTCGTTAGTCTCAATTCGATGTCACGTATTTCTAGCCTCAAGGTTTAACTAGTTATCCTCTCGTGTCAAGGTCTCAACTTATATTGAGACAAGTTCTTTCCAGTATATTTTCAGGTAAACAGATCTAGGACTTAATATTTACTTTATCCTGATTAACGTCATTGAAAACACAGTGTCATAAAATTTTACCTATAAGAACTTCAAGAAATAAATATCATAACAATTCACAACGGTCTTTTGGATAACTGTTTTATGTGGTGATTTATATGATACCTTTCAGTAAACGAAACAAGTGGTTTACATTACTTTAGCGTAGATCCATATTGTACACTTATTCAGTCTTATTATGAAATCGAAGTCAGTGCTTTCTCAAGTTTCAGGGAAAAATTCGTTCTCATTCATTTACTCATTGCAAACATATGGAATAAAGAAAAGTTACAAATATTTGGGTAGGATTATTTTCATAAGATAGAACATTACATGTTCGACTGTTTCACATCATAGTAATTACGCACACACACACATACATACAAATATACACTACTTTCACACCAAAGTAATCATATGATTAATTAGAATAAAAGGAAACCTAACAAATTGTGTAAAACTTGTGTAAAATCTGTCGTAGGCAGACCGAGTATTGAAATTCAATCGTTTTATTCATGTGAGTTAACAAGATCCATTATATTGGTATACATTGTATTGATTATCTAACACAGAAAACACA